ATGAGCGCCCCTCTACTGAGCGCCCCTCCAGCGAGCGTCCCTCCAGTGAGCGCCCCCCGGCAGCCTCGGCAGGAGCACCACCTCGTCTCGCTCTTGCTGGCAACAAGCCCTCGTGGCGTGAGCGTGAAGCCGCCAAGGCTGCCCAAGCTGCCTCCGGTACACCAAGCGCTGCCAAGGAGAATGCGCCATCACCTCCCACTGAGGCTTTGAAGCCTTCTGGCGCCCCTGGCAAGTGGGTGCCCCGGCATCTCCAGAAGAAGTAAGGTTAGGCATTGAAGGATCGGCGTTACGGGGGGTTTGGGTTTTGTGACTCGCTTGTAACTTAGATCACGAAGAGAAGAGAAGAGAGAAGAAAAATTGCCTTCATAATCTGCCAACGCAGCCAAGATCACACACATAATGAATGTTTTGGCTTCGCGTGTCTTCTTCTTCAACGAACTAAGGGATCACGTCGCGGGCATGAGGTTAAATGAGTATGCACGTGCGATGCATTTAACGTAGCTAGCTTCTCCTATTCCGAGCCTGGTTGTTACTAGTTAGGTAGTCAAGTTAGGTAATTCCAGAAACACTCATGATTTTCCAATCGTCCCTCCAGCGAAGTTAGTCCGTCTGTCTTTTGAAGCCATTCCGCTTCACTAGTAAGGGTCAGTGTGTGTGCCCTAGTCTAGGAATACCCATAATAGGCGAGATCCGCTTTCATCATCCCCTTGGCATCAAAGTCATGAAAGGTTGCTCCTCAAGCACATACTCGCACCGCTATTGATTATACTGTATCTTGCTTCAGTAGACTTCAATGTATTTATTCGCTCGTCTAATCCGTAACTTATCCGTGGGTATCTTCTTATATAATTTCATGATGTTCTATTGGGTATTTGTACATGATTTGTTTGTATTCTTGTTCTGTTCCGTTATTAGACAGTCGGTAGAGTGAGATTATGGGCAGCAGACGACGGGGATAGCCAGTATCATCTCCACGACTGCGGCAGCACCGGGCTTCCATTGTTTATCCCCCGTGGTAGCGGCTCTGCACTCAGCTCCACTGGTTTCTCCCGCGTCGGCAATTCCTTGACGGGATCGAATCCCGACAGCGTGTACTCAGTCGGAAGCTCGCTCACTGGCATTCCTTCTAGCTGGGGTTTGACTCCTGCCTTCTCTTGGTCGTCTCGCTTATTCGTGTCCTCCTCGCCGGCTTGCTCTTGTTGGCCTGGGCCTTCGTCCTTCTTGCGACCCGAAAACCCTTTGCCGAGTCGGAAGGCGAGTAGGAACAATCCTCCTGTGATGGCGATGAGTGCGATGCCACCGCCGACTGCTATCCCGGCTATTGCTCCTCGACTTAGCGAGGTGCTGTCTGCTGCTGCGGTGGGTACGCTTGTTGACGAAGCTGTGCTAGTTGGGGCACTGGTCGCCGCAGTGCTTGTTTGTGATGAACCTCCCCAACCTGAAGGCCACCCGGAAGCTGGACCTGAGCCCCCGCTGCTGTCTTGTATGCCGGCATCGTTGCAAAAGCTTGAATATCCCGACCTCAATTGGCCTAGATACTAACCTTTAGTTTTGGGTGAGGACAAGTGAAAATAATGCGCGGCACACTCACCCACAAGATCCTCTGTAGAGTTGCTAGAGCAGGCTTGCTGGGCACAAGATAATGAACCATACCCTATCTGCCGCTCGTTGGTGCAAAGGCATTGGCTGTCCTCCGGCCCGGCACACTGGCTATTGTTTGATATCGAAGCCTCGATACACGATTGTGCACATCCTGGTATATATGTTGTAAGGTTCTGAGTAGCGAAGGCTGTAGCTATCAACGCTAGTGTCGGCAGTGCAGCTCGTAGACGCGCCATCGTGCGTTGATGGCGTTTTAGATCTAGTTTCTATGGATGGTGCACTACGATCCGCAGCACCTATGCATCGGAAGAGACATTAGGTGGGTATGGCAAAGAAACGAAAGAAACCGGAAATAAAATTCGAAAGGGAACGAAGGGACCGCAGGGCTATCACGTAGGACATCTCTGCACAGGATCAAATAGCATCGCGGCAGCAACCTTATCTAGACGGTAGATATATATGATCTGATGTGATTTATATCCCTTAAATATGAAAGTGTTGCAAGAAAAAAAAATTAAAAAAAATACCACATCGATCTCTTGGTGTATGGCTCAGGGGGGTACCTGGCGTCTAAGTGCCGCGATCTACTGGACTACGAGAAAAACTCTGCCGAGTTGTCGATTGGGTAGGGGGGCGAAGGATCGTAGCACGAACGCGGCCCTGCGCCGCTTGGGTGCGGCAACCTATCCGGCATGTGGACAAGGAAGGCTACCGTGTCGGGACCGGGAACGCATATGCCATGCTACTATAGCATCTCTTAGTCACAAAATCCTATACAGTAGATGTTATTTCTTCTCGAAACGGAGTTGTATAATGCACCGGAACCGAGCCCTAGGATAGGATATGCAGATCTGTCTCGTCTTGTATACCAGAAAAGCAATTACGCCAATATTGGAGGGAGCCTGCTGCACTCGGGGTAGTAGTGATGCTGCAGGGAGGCGGGGTCTGCAGCACAATTATTTATATCGCCCCCAAGCGATTGCAAAGTATGGTGGTACCCTGATCTATACGCATTCCTTGGCAAAATTTTTTGAACGGGAAGGATCGGTCCCGGAGTATAGGTATCACATGAATTGAACGCCTCAGATCTTTAGGTACCTAGATAGGTAGGTAGGTACCCGGGTGATAGTCACACAAGCACCCTACATCGAGGGAGGTCCTAGGTAGATAGTGCCTAGCCATGGATTGGGTTTGCTTATGTACCTACTGTTTTGTAATATAGGAAAGGAAAAAGGAAGCTATCTGTTGCACAACTGAAAAGGGGCTTGCTACATAGTCTCTACCTCGCATGCCAAAAGGCTATGAAGGCAGGTAAGTGCATCCATAAGTCTACGGTTTTAAACTAAGTCTTTAGCGACGACCAGAGACTTGGAGTACGCATGTTACACCATGGAATCTCAACAGAACTAGAAACTACTGTAGGTAGGTAGGTAGGTAAGATCGCATGCGACTGTTTCAGCATAGGCAAACATGATTACGAATACGTAGATCACCAACGTATAAATAAGAGGCTTTATATTAGCATCTACGCAGTTCTTTTTCCTTCCCATATTTCTCTATTATGGGAATTGGTTTCTCATGTGCGAGCCTACGTCAATGTGCTTCGTCTAGGGGCGACAGCATCGTCGTGCTTGGTAGGCAAGAACCACTGTGTAAGTCTAGGTTCGAGTTTCTTGGATTGGCTAATTCGTACGATATGCATGATTCTTATGACGCTTTGAGAGAGGAAGCTTCGGGGTTCGAGGTTGGAGTTGCTAAGTGAGTGGCATCAATTGCGTGTTGGCTCTATTCAACTCTCAACGTCAAGACATATCTCAATTAAATCTTACATCCTTCCAAATTCACCCAGATATATCATTCAGTATTTGCAGCCTTGATACGGGAAATGACCGACCCGAGTGTTATTCAATACATCATCATTAATGAATATCTTGCCTGGTAACCTGATTACCGTTAACGCACCTACTTGTCAAGTATCGACAAGCGAATACCTATTCAGAACAGAAGAACATATAAAGCCAGTCATTACGGAACTATCAATCACAGTCTTTTCAGCCCAAATAGTTACTTCTCTCTTAGCGATTGCTACCAATTTACGATCGGACAGTCTCTTCATCACGAGCATCCACGTTTCATCACAGGAATCGTATCACAGCTTCCGGCCACCATCTAGTTCACGATGCCGTCACTGAGCCCGACCCTTAATTTTGCGGAGACCAAGCGCATGATCAATAAAGTGCCGAATAAGACGATCTTTGTGATCTTTACCTCTTGTCAAGGTCAGTAACAAAATATTTAATAGGCATTCTAAAAGGACAGAGAGTATGAGGAAGTAGAAGATGAAAGCAATAGCTGACCGGTCATGGCGATGTTTAGGAAGGTGGGAAAGCAGCGGATTCGGAGGCGCCCTTCGACAGGCCTTTCCGGCTGCTTACGAAAGATATCGCGCCCATTGTCGCGATCCTGACAATGCGAGCCTACCACCTAGACGGGACCGCCTAGGCACTTGTTACATAAGTACGTTACCAGCATTGTCTAATACACGCTGCCCTTGAATCTAACCCTTCCTAGTCCCACCACAGCGAAGCGACTATACCAACCGGCCGTTTCCCGAGGGCTACGTCGCTTGTCTCTTCGTCAGCTACGGCGACGGTCATCGAAACTGGCTTAGCTTCTCTAAGCCCGGCCGTGACGCCAAAGCCGACGTCAGAGCAAACACGGACCGAGCTCTCGCAGAGCTGAGGAGAATTCTCGGGGACATGGGCCTCTGGGACCAAGATGTCGACCGCCCCTGGCGAGAAAACGGTCGGAAGATGATACTAAACTCGGGCTTACGCAACTGCAAAGACTTCCAGATGACGTGGGAGGAGTTGAAGATATTGATTCGCAGACACTTCAAAGGCTGGAAGGGTCTCTGGGCTACTTCTGACGAGGTTTTCCACCTATCATCTAGCGTGGGTAAATATTATTACAATGTATTAGACACACAATAGACCAGTATTAGCGGTTCGGTATTATTATGGAATTATTTTGATACGTGCTTCCAAAGTGACAAGTAAAGTGCTAAGGAGATATTAAATCAATAGCTTGGAATAGCTTTTGTATTATGTAGGCGCTATACTCTGTTGTTTATCTAATTGTCGGAGTACTAGAATCGTCGGTTTTACGAAAAGGGGCTGGGGCTCTATACTGAACTAAAAAATGAATTTGATTGGATTTTACGTAAAAAGGGGGGGCGCCGACGCAGTGGAGATAGGGTATAGACTAGGGCACCGGAGCATAGACACAATATGCAGCTAAAACAAAACGATGGAAAAATTAACAAAAAATCTGTGACTTCCTAGCGTGTACACTAGGTCGTGACCAAAGCATGGACTAGACATGTATTGTAATCGTACTGCCTCCACCCCGGTTCGAACGAGGGATCTTTGCATTCTCTTGCTTATATACAAGTGCAACGCGTTACCACTGCGCCATAGAGGCGTCCTTGACGATGCTTGTCTGGGTCGGTTTATCATCGACGGGTCTGTGAAGGGCTCGGGCGAGGCTCTACGAGACCGAAGCTGCTTCATACCTAGCCACGTAACTCTACTTTGATGGACTGTATGAATACCCACCTACTCATCACATCGCTATAGTATGGCTGGCCTTAAATGTCAAGGCATTTAATAATATCGTTTACAGATGGTTTGATTTATACTGCCCTCAATGATATTCGGGGTGTAGGTAGGTTGGTAGGTATGTCATGCCTCGTGTGCTGACGACTTGGGGTCAGCACCGAACTTATGTCTTGACTATACCCTCTAGGTTAATTAAAGTGCTGACATAGTCGCCCGACTACTATGAGACCTATTTGATATCACTGTATAGCAGCGAGGCAGGCTGCTGCGGTAGTACTATCAGGGCGTTTTTCACTTATGCCGTTCTCCCCATAAGCAGGCTAGGCTCGGTGTTTTCCGGGCCTAGCTCGCGAAATGAGGGTATATAATGCTCTGGATGCCATTCTGCCTTGCCAGCCTGCATATGTAATGCAGCGACCTACCTATACTATACAGTCGTGGCTGCAGTGAGCAGCGCCAAACATTGAGCGATGCATTAGCAGACGAGATATAACTATCCGGAGGGGTAGTCGAGATGGTGGTGCGCCTCAATCGAACACATGATACGCCCGACTTTCTCGCCATCCCGTCCTGCGCTGCGAACCGGCCAATCTGGAAGTTGCTGCGAGAATAGGCCTCATGCGAGAGTGCGTTGTTCTGCTGCAGGCCTTAGGTAGGTGACGACGATAAGCCAATTGGGGTCAACATGGCCAATATGCCGTCATGTACGGGAATCGAACGACCCACGAGGCTTGCAACTTGTCCTATCATCTGTCGCTTCCCCAAGATCAGGGCGGACTTGGTTGTGCCAGGTCTGGATATTATTTAGGCAGCGTTTCTTCTTCTCCCAGGTGGCTTGCTTCCCGCGAGATAGGGAGCTCATTCCAACCTAGGCCTCACTATTCCGTGGATCTACCTCACTCAACATAGGGTCAGCCACGGCTTTATCATCACTGACAAGACAATGGCGGAAGCTTATTGCGCTTGCATGATCTCCTACCTGGAGGGAGTTCGAGCAAACTCATTCCCCCCTCGACCTGAGCTCGACACGAGACCAACGTTCATAGCGCTCGACAGACGTACGCGATGGCTTGAAGCCCGCTACCAGATCACGTCGCCTCCGCCGCTGCCCGAGGTGTCGTGGGACTCGCTCGTGTGGCGCGTCTGTCGGCTAGCGCGTCGGGCGCCCGGGAGGCTGCTCCCCAAGTGCATGCCGCCGCTGCAGGAGGTGTCGTCGATATCATTCCTGAAGAGCATCATCGCGAGCCTCACCATCGACAACCACTTCCCCTGGCCCGACAAGGAGCTCATCGCCGAGGAGGAACTGCTGGGCAGCGCCGCGCAGTTTCTCTGCCGCCTGGCCGGGAAGCGAGGCTTCAAGCCCGGCTTGCACTCGTTCCAGCTCGACGAGGTCTGCTCGCTCGCCATCAACTTCTCGCTTCAGGCGGAGAACGTGCCTCTGACATCGGTTTTCAGACCTGGTCCTCCGGAGCACCCGGTCTTCCCGCCCGGAGTAGTCGGGACGAGAAAGAAGGCGAAGTGTTGTGACTGCTGCTCCTGCAACTGCCACAAGAAATCGAGCCGTGACTCGGACACGGATTCGGATTCGGATTCAGAGTCGGATGTTGGCAAATCCGGTGGATGTGGTCTGCCTTCCTTTGGGTGGCTCAGGAAGCTCGCGTTCTGGCGCAAGAAACGCATTACGGACGACGCATCGTCGACGTCTAGTACGGTTGTTAGTGATTGAGGGACGGGAATATCTATCGGCGTAAGGAACGGTAATAATTGGTATACTTGGTGAAACATATGTAATGTAGCTTGGTGTACGTACTTTTCTTTACTTTTACCGCGGAATCGGGATAGGCACCTACATCACTGCCAATATCAGCCCCTATCATGAAATCAAAAAGCACCTACAGTTTCGTCTCGGCTAAGTACATGCGATTGAATACCCAGAGCACCTAGATGAGTACTAGTTAATGAAGTAATGACGTTTGTTCATCTACCGGACGAATCAGCACATGTTATTACCATGTAGGTCTTAGATACGATGCGACGTAAGGTCTCTCACGTAAGCTGACAACATGCAGAGCAAAGACATAGATAGTATTTGCTCTCTTGGTCTCTATTATTGCGACCCTAAACGGAAACCTTGGAAGTAACACGAGATGCTGCATATCGTATGGGGCGTAAGATGACTTGGACGTTGGCAGCGGTGCTAACGATTGGCTGCCTCTATCTATACTGCTAAGTATCAATGTGAGTATATATACAATGAAGTCAAATACATACCTAGCAACCTTAGAAACTAAAGTGTTCGAAGTGAACTATATTGTTCTGTTCTGTATGTGAAAAAACCATGCAATAGGACCAATGTCTCGCACCGAGAGACAGAGAGGCCTCAGAATGAATACCCGGACGCCGCCCTCATGCTTATATGCTGCGCTATGGTGCCCACCATTCTAGATACAAAAATCTGTGTCCAACAGCTCCCGCTGATCTCTCTCTTCTCTGGTATCATTAAATGTATTGATTTAGTTATTAATTCTCGGAGATATAATTCGCACCCAATCAGAGGCTATTTATCAAGAGACACCGCTCTTCTCTCCTTTATACAATCCGTCTTGATTGCCCCTCGTTCTGCTCGTGAGAGGCACTCACAGGCGTAGTAGCACGCGAGGTATCGTTATACACCATATCGCCCGGCAGCTCGAAGGCGTATGCCGGTGACGGCGTGGGTGCCCGCGTCGGCTCGTCAGCAGCCATCTCCGACCGCAGCAACGGAACGTCCGACGTCCTCTTGTGATCCGTCTTACTCCCACTGTCGTAGTAGTCGGCCGGTAGTTCCTTGTACTCCCGATTCGACTGGGCGATCTCGACGGCCCCGAATTGCATGTTGTGCTGTGCGTATTCGGGGGCGGGCGACATGGGGCTGTTGAGGTTGCTGTGGGAGAGCTCGACGTCGCGGTGGCTTGCTGCATCGGGCGAGGCGTTGGCGGCGTTGGCTTTTGACTTGAGTCTTTTCGAGTATAGATAGATGAACCACTATGGCGGTAAACTTTTAGCAGGAACTCATTTCAAGGAGGGGTAACTCATTTGCTAGAGTGCTTTTCAAGGTAATACTCCCAAGCAACGTATAATGGAATTTGAAAAATGAGTAAATAACTGGAATACATACTGCTGCGAGGCCTGCTGCAACGATGCCTAGGCCAAGCCCTGCCCCCATTCCGATCTTCTCTCCCGTCGAGAGACCTCCCCCTCCAGAATGTCCAGAAGAATGTCCACCTGTCGCTGATGGCGTTGGTGCAGAGCTCGTCTCCGTAGCTGCTAGGGCCTGTGACATAAAGGCGTCCTTAGACACAGCGATAGTAACACCCGTGCCTGAACAATTGTTTTCCATCGTGTCATAGACGGCTCCCAGGTCGTTAGGGCTGGCCTTCGCCACGCACTGCGCCGTGTCGTATATAAAATTGCCACGATTCTTGCAGAGACACTGGTTTAGTTGCTGGCCCGTGTTTCCGGAGCATTGGCTCGTGTCCGCCGCGTCGCTGAGGCATTGTTGCGAGCCCTCGGGATATGCTGAGAAATCATTCTGAAGGGCCGCCGCAATGTGCGACTGCAGTGTGACGCCGAGGAGCAGCGAGGTCGGGAGAGCCAGGAACCTCATCCTGGGCTCGATTTTTGATAGCCCCCCTAAGCAGTCAAATGATGATTCTCAAGACTCACGATCGCGACGTTTCGATGAGATATTCGAGTCTATAGTTAGCTACATCCACTTTGCGTGGTAGGTCAAATAGTTAGATAGGTATTTGGTGGATAATCGAACTAGAATACACTATTTTGGAGACAAAAGAGAAAAAAAAGCAAGGAGTGAAAAGAAGAAGAAAAACCTCGTATAGACACGAGGGAGGCCCAAGTGGCTGGCACCTTGGTACCGTTATGTAAGGTAATTTTGGTTATTGTCTTAGCCCTACGGGAACTCCTAATCCAATAGAGGACGGCGAATAGACATGGTCGAAGCTGGGCGGTAAGCCTCCTTGACCAGTTAGGCAGCATCGAATTTCGATGTACAATGCAGTATCTGGTTAAGATCCTCGTCGTAAAGACCGTTCACGAATTCTGGAGCGAACTTCGCTCCAGCCATTGAGGAGCGCCTGAGTCTGGACGCAGGGACAGCGGGCGAGGCAATGCTCTCTCTCAGCTCAACTTTTCGGGTCTCTCGCACGATATCGCTTCATTTGTTGGCAATACGACGGATTTCCCACTAGATGCTTCATAGAAAGAAATCATCCTCTTGATCGACAATTCATTGTATGTTCTCTTTTCATAACTCGCCAAGGATATGTCAAGATTCTGCCGGTGAAATGATCTTATGTACTATGTACTGGACAAGGGGTCACCGATCCACAGTTGGCCCAAGATACCATGTTGATCGACGCAATGCCGGCAAGGGTTAGGAAAAAGTAAACATCCAGACATCGTATGGAATACACGTGTACGTGTATATTAGCTTCTCCGCCTCTATCATGTGGAAGTGCGATATACTGTGGCTTATGTACTTTTTCTCCGTCCCCGTCCCCGTCCCAACATAGGATCAGTTGGATTGAGGCTCAACACGGCAGAGTGCTGCAATACTACGCCGCCATTCCCAATTGACCGTGAGAGGATTTCTTCCATTCTGGGTTGCTGCATGAGCACCCCGTATCATTAGCATTTACATACCTACCTACCTACCTACCTACCTACCTAGGTAGACATCTTGTAGTACAATCACATAGCAGAGCTACTTTAACACAAATAATTTTACTTTCCAGGCCAAACCATTTCATTCCGTAGAATCAGAGCTTCCTAGCCTCAGAACTCACTACATTCATTCACCAAAAG